TTCTTCCCATCTTAGTGGATTTATCTACCTTTGATCTTTGAATTGGTGATTTTGAATGGGATCTCTGAGTGGACGTCCTTTCTGTTAATGTTGAAACTATTTCTTTTTCTTTTTTAGTTTTCCTTCTAACAGTCAGGTCCCTCTGCTGTAGGACTGCTGAAGGTCCACTCTAGATGTTGCTTGCCTGGGAATCACCAGTGGGCGTTGAAGATCAGCAAGTATTGCTGCCTGATCTTTCCTGTGGTAGATTCGTCCCGGAAGGGTACCCACCAGGTGACAGCCAGAGCTGTCCTGTATGAGGAGTCTTTTTGGTTATGCAGGGTTTAGGGAGCTGCTTGAGCAGTCAGTCCGTTCCTGGTCTGCCTGCGGAGGCACTGCTGGGCTGTCACGGACTCAGTCCAGCTGCTGTGTAAGCTTCCTCTGGCTTTTGTTTACACAAGTAGGTTTAGACCTGCCTCAACAATGGCGGACACCCTTCCCCTCACCGAGCTCGATCATCCTGATGTGCTGGCTGCAAAACTCTTAATTGAGAGGGCTCAGTTTGCTGGTCTCTGGAGGATGGGACCCGCCTAGCTGTATCACCTGTCTCCCTGCTTTGAGCTCCCCCTCTTTCTGGGGAGCAGGTAGCTCCGTCCTGCAGGCTGTCTCAGTGCTAGTCAAAACATTCACCCAGATCTGTGCCAACAACGTGTGGCATCTGCAGAACTGCCACTAAGATCTGTTCAGGTAACTTGTGGTGCTTTTCCGCCTGGCAGGGATTTCCTGGTCTGTGGGTTGCAGAGGGCATGGGAGAAGTGCAGTATCTCAACTAGAGTGGGGGGTAGGGGAAGGAGTCCCCGATCCTCCAGTCGGTTGCACTTCCTTGGTGAGGCAGAATCCCGCCCTGCCACAGTTTGCCCTCCTTGGGCTACACCCACTGTCCAACCATTTCCATCAAAATGAATCTGGTACCTCGGCTGGAGATGTGGAGATCACTCACCTTCTGCATCTCTCTCACTGGGACTGTACTCCAGAGCTGTTCCTATTCGGCCACCTTGGTGGAATCAGCTCTTCCCTTATTTATTCACTTTTTCTCATCAATGTTTTATGTAAACTTGCAAAAAGCACCAGAAAATCACACTGGACTGAGAATGTAGCTTTCGGGCCCATTGTGTCTCCGAGGATCCCAGGGTCATGGTCTCTGCACAGCACATGAGCTCCAGAGGGTGGGTGGTCAGTAGTTCATCCAGCCATGCAGATCCTGTCACTGATCAAAGGACAGCCCCACTGGGGCCACATCTACACATTGTCGTTGTCCAGCTGGAGCCTCCGGAGTTCCTGGAGGCACAGGTGCACAGTCAGGTGGTCTACAGTCTGAGAGACTTTCTGCGGACAGTGTTTTCAGGCTGGGATTCCTTAAATTCAGTGAGATTGTTTCTGTGTGTGGAAATTCTAGTGGAAATTGACTGACGTTGGTAACTCTTTCTTCTGTATTTTTTATGTCTCCTCTTTACATACTTGTTCAATCCTGTAACCTCATGAACAAGTGAAATAGAACAGAGCTCTGGGAATTCCTTTTGTATCCTTGCCTATGTGGTCTATCATGTGTGCAATTTTATTGCCACTTTGGATTGATTTATTTTTCTGCATGACATGGCATAGATTTTCTAGTTACCCCGCAGGAAATATTGACAGGATGAAGACATTGCAGATTTTTCCTGCTGGGTTTAGGATTCTTCTGCATTTCATTCTCTACCTTTGTCTTTCATTGTTGAATTCAGTCAAGTTACTTGAAACCTGCTTGGATTTTCTGTTTGCTTTTAACTTTCATAGTTGAGACCTAAGTAGCCATTTGTCTAAGGTGACGTTTTCCCCAGGACTGAGGCAAAGCTGGGGACTGCACTTCATGTCCTGTAACTCAGGCCTATCCTCTGTGACTGTAGTGTGTGTGAGTGTGTGTGTGTGTGTGTGTGTGTGTGCACGTGCTCGCTCTCTGGAATGTTCCCTCAAGTGTCTTGGGTGGTTCCTTTCTCTTTCGAGAGTTTCTTCACGCAGAAGTGTACATGAGCGCATGAATATTTGCAGACTTCAGAGTTCTCTATTTGTGCAACTCTCTCCTTCTTGACACTCTCCCCACTAGACTTTTTTTTTTTTTAATGTGTTGAGTCCCTGGAATCCTACTCTGAGGGGGAGGAGTCCATGCATTAGGATTTCAGGATATACTCTCAGGAAAGGAGTGGGAGAGGCATGACTGGGAATGTGTTACCACTGATGGCTCAGCTACGACACATTTCAAGTTCACCATAAATTAAAGCACGGATTTGGGATTAAGGTCTCAGCGGTCATTGCTCTAGAACCACATTCTGAAGGAGGCACACTTCTGCAGGAAGCTGTTATTTGTACTCAATGCCATTTTTCAGTGGGAAATTGCTGTAGGAAGTCAGGGATGCCACGTGATGCCACAGTGCTCACTAGGAAAGGCTTTCCCGTTCAGAACATCAGGATGCATGGAGCTGGGGCTTGAGGGTCTCAGTTAAACATGCACAGTTCAGAGAAATAATCCAGGGTATTTGGGCCACAGAGTACAGGCATCGCGTTAGATCCAGTCACCACACAAGAGGAACTCCAGAGACCATGGACACTCCATGGCTGTCTGTCTCCCTCTTACTGTCCTTCCACTCAGGGCATCTTGAGCCAAGACACACTCAGTCCAAACAACACCAGAACAGCGTGGTCCTTCCAGCCTCCAATCCTATCCTGACCCACCTTCTGCAGAGCCTGCCTGGAGGGCTGGAGGGAAGGGCAGCCTGAAGGTCGCAGATCCAGGTGAACTGGGCCAGGCCTGCTTATGGCTTTGTTCACAGTCCTGCTGGGGCTGGAGAGAGAGGGTGACACAGAGAGGGAAGGGGTTTCTGTCTCACTTCCCCGTCTGCCTGTGCCACTGTGGGATAAGTACTACTGCTGTCTGCTGAGAAGCAGTAATAGTCAGCCTCATCCTCTGCCTGGGCCCCACTGATGGTCAAGGTGGCAGTTGTCCCCGAGCTGGAGCCAGAGAATCGCTCAGGGATCCCTGAGGGTCTCTCGCTGTCTTTATATATCACCAGCACAGGAATCTGGCCTGGCTTCTGCTGGTACCAATGAGCATATTTATCTGGCAATGCATCTCCAGAGCAAGTGATCCTGGCCGTCTGTCCTGGTGACGCTGACACGGAGGGTGGCTGTGTCAGCTCATAGGACGCGTCAGAGCCTGCAAGGAAGAACAGGATAGAGAGCTTGAAGACAAAGGACCCATTCCCAGGAGTCCCACCCAGAGACTGTGTCTACGCTTTGCTCAGGATTCAGGGCAGCCTCAACTTAGGATCTGTGGGGACTGAGCCTGGGGTCACCACCTGTGCAGAGAGTGAGGAGAGGGAGCAGGAGGGAAGTCCAGGCCATCGTGAGACACCCAGAGCTCTTCCTCCCGGGCCCACAGCACAGCTGGGCTCCCCAGGCCTCTCTTATTCCCTCTCAGGCTTTTGGGGTCAGTGTCTGGTGTTTATGCAAATTAACATCCTCTGGGACTCCTCCTGCAGAGGTGTCACTCAAACCAGCTGTGGGGGCAGCACAGGCAACAGGACAAAGGGGAAGCAGGATCCGTGGTTAGAAAATCGGCCTCAACCTTCAAGTTCTGTGATCAGTCACCTTCCTGGAAATTGACCTCATGCTACTGTCCCAAACCTCGCTGACCTGAAGTCTGTCCTGGGCCAGGCTCAGCAGAGCTGTGGACCTTCCGGGGCTGATCTGAGCCCTGCTGTGAAGTCATAATGACACATGACTCAGCAGCAGGTGCACAAGAGACCCATCATCTTCCTCCTCCTGGTCCCTCTCAGACTCAGTCCCCTCTTCTTCATTTCATCTAAATGCTGTGCTGTGTCATTGGAACACTTGCTAATTATCTCAGGAGGAATAGTTGGGTCCTTTAAGCAAGCATACACCTGTGGAGTCAACAGGCCTCTGGTCTCATTTCATCCGCGGTGCTGCTCCTTCCGTACCAACCCCCACTGCCACAAGAAGTTAGTGATTGGCCCCTCAGCTCATCTGTCCCCTATTTATGTTTTCCTCATCAATGTTTTATGTAAACTTGCAAAGAGCAGCAGACTCGGCTGAGAATCTAACTTTAGTCCCCATGGTCTCTATAAGGGTCCCAGGGACGTGGTCTTTGCACAGCAAGTGAGCTCCACCGGGTGAGGGGTCCCTGGTTACTCCAGCCAAGTCCCTTGTTATTGTCGTGTCACAGAGCATGGACAGCTTCGGGGTCAGAGCTGTGGCCTGAGTCAGATCAGAACCCTCGTCCTTCTGGAGAGCGTGTCCTTGAGGAGGCTGGGGATGCCCGATGCAGGGACCCGGGCCCCAAATGCATCTTCACCCCACCCACCTAAGATTCCCTTGAGCACGGAGCCACCCACTGAGTCAGGGTCTGCCTGGAGCTGGAAGGAGAGGCAGAGGGAGCGGCGGTCGAGTGTATCTGGAAGTGTCCAGGACAGAGGGCTCAGCTCCCCAGGACACTGCTGGACAGGGAGGAACAAGGCCCTGAGAGTGGCAGGAGGCTCAGGTGGCCATCCTGGGTGAGGGACTCAGGCCCTGGGAGCCCATCCCCTCACACTCTTAGAGCACCTTGACCTCGGGACGTCTCCCAGGGTGTCCCCTTCCTGAGGAGGCTGCCTAGGCTGACACCTGGCCCAGGATCCTCTAGCTGCATTTCCCAGGTGAGGCCTTCACTGTGGCGGGCTTCCATCACTGTCCTGGGGTGACACTGTGTGAGCCTGACCCTCAGAACGTGGCCACTGCAGCCCGAGGGGTTAGGATGAACTGTCTTCACTTTCAAGACTGATTCTTGGACACCTGCTGACCCCCAGGCTGGGCTTCCTCTTTGCCCCCCTGGGCAGCCCCAGCCTGGCTCCTGACTGCTCCTGGCTGCAGCTCTGCTGCCCCCAGCTGGTGGAGGAGACTGGGCCCAGGTGACATCACAGCTCCTGTCACCTCAGAAGTTGAGGACCAGAGAGTCCAGCCCCATTCTGTGCCAGTGTGACCCAATCCGCCCTGCTCAGCCCAGCACAGAGAGTTCACACACACAGTGCAGGGAGGCGGGGCAGGTGCAACTGCTGTAAAAGTGTCTCCGGGCTGAGATGCCCTCCTCTACTGGTTTTGTGCATCAGGACTAATGAGAGAGCTCTTCTGCAAAGCTTCCAAAGTCCAGAGAGATGTGCATGCCATCCTCCAGGGACCCCGACTTCCCGTGCACTTAGGAAGAAAATGGGTACACCTCACACATAATGACAGCAGCTATGATTCACCACGGTCACCTGATGTCTCCTGCACTGCAGCTTAGTTGTGAGCTGACATCACCATTGTCAGCACCGTTAATTTCAAGTTTATGTTTATTTCATTCCACACTTCTCAGAGTTCCTGCCAGGAGGACTTCTACACTAGCCTGGTCTGTTTTCCTGGCGAAACTGAGGCTCTCCTCCTTATTCTCAGCTGGGGGCTGCTGTTCCCACCACGCAGAAAACAAGCTCTTTTTGAGCCTCTTTCTTGGAACCCTTGCAGGGAAAGACAAGTTCCATGTCTGAAACCCATTGAATGACACCCTCATTGGGGTTTAATTAATAAATACAACATTCATCACTTTGCTATATTTTAATTTTGAATGAAGAAAAATGCTTCTTCAGTTCAGTATAAGCCTCCTCCCCTCACAGCAGCTAACGCTGAACCGGGGGCCTTTGGAGCAGAACTCAACCAAGGTGGGGAGGGAGGGGGCATGAGGACCAGGCAGGCAGCAGGGATGTGTCCTATGGACACACTGACATCCCCCATCATGGACTAGGAATAGGCTTATGGTCCTGTGGGGGTTTACCCTGGGGACAGCGTCTGTGCAGTGAGCGAGGAGAGGTAGCAGGCAAAGGGTCTAGGCCATGGTGAGACATCCCAGAGCTTTGTCTTTGGGGCCCACAGCTGAGCCTGGTTTCCTCAGGCCTGCTCCACACTCTCAAAAGTCCCAATGAAAATGCACCCTCTGTCGCGCTGGACTGGAGAGAACTCGGCAGGCTTCAGGGTGCGCTTCATGTGTTTGGTTCATATGGAATTATTCTTCTCCTCATATCTCATATGGGAGTGATCGTCAGTGCTTATTTGAACAATCTTACAGGTATGACAGGAATCCCATACCCACGGTTTTCTGTGAAGCTCAAAGGGGTGAAGGGTGTCTCTGTGTTTCCAGGACCCTGGCCGTTGCTGTGTCTGAGTCCCCCTTCTGCTGTTCTGTCAGGACCAAGCAGGGGCGTACATGTGGCCCACCCTGGACAAGGTTGCATATAAGCATGACAATATTTGAAGACACTGACTCAGCGCTGACTACAGCCCATGCCACGCCTGTTTGTGGGTCTTGCCCACGTGAACTCGTTTAACCCAGAAGCACGTCTGAGGGAGGCGGTAAGTGAGGAAAATAAAAAAAAATTTGAGTTTGGGACATTTGACACTGGCAGCACTCCCTGGTCACACCAGTATGCACATGTACACACATGTGCACACACACACAGGTATACAGAGCACATTCCCACACACAGGTGCACCCATTTACACACCTGCACACACTCCCAAACATGGGAGCACACCTGGGCACACTCCCACACATAGGCGCACGTATTTGCACACCTTAACACACTCTCCCTCAAGCCTGGGCACACTCCTGTACATGGGTGTCCCCATTTACACAGCTGTGCACACTCCTATACACAGGCACACACCTGGACACACTCCCACACATGGATGGGTCCCTTTACACACCTGGGCAC